AGAGAGTTTGTCCCCTGATACCCATTGATTCCAACTTTGTTCGGGTTCCTAACTAATACCTAATACTGCCTCATTTATATACAGGTTGCTATACTCCCAGGCGGTGAAGGGAAACTTGACAGCAGCAATTCCAAACATGAATGGCAGAATGCTAACCTGGCTGCTACATCTTGCTGGAATCAGCAACTGCTTGCATCATGCTGACCCCAAGCTGCTCTACATGCAGGAACAGGCACCCATCTCATTGCTTTGGAACATGGTGCATCTCAAGGGTCTTAGCCTGCATTCCTAGCACTCACTCCCTTTGTGCCTACTTTGGATATTCACAGCATCTCTGCCCTGCCTTGTCTTTTTGCGCATTATTGCCTCATTCAGAACTTACGGGCTTACGCTACTTCTGTTTTGCTTTGAAAAAGGAAGAAAGCCAGGAAGCTTTTCATGTTTGTTAACAGTGACCAATAATGTTGACTAAAAATCCTGGCCACAAGCAATCTTGACAGTCATTGATCGTTACAAATTAATCCAAGTAATCACCGTGAAGCAGAAGTAATATCAAGCAAGCTGTAAAGTTCCATCTGCATTCCACAATTCATAAACACATTCCAAGGTCATATAGTCCTGGAGCTGCTTACCGCACATCTTGGACTATAAAACGTTCACACCATTATCTTGCATGTAATACAGCCTTTCTTGAGTGATGTGGGGATGGACAGAGAAATTCTCATTTCTTCCTCCCATATTTACATATACCTATCATATGTATCATGTACAGCTTAAGCAGCATACATCTGAAACAGGTCTACTTTGTATGTAATTGGTGCACGTAGGGGCATCCCTTTGCTCTCCTTTTCAGAGATCTCCGTGCCCCATATGTGGAGGATAGTGATTAAATGTCTCTATGTGTTGCCTCTGCTGTCTGATCATGTTACTAAGGAGCTTTTCTTCCCTAAAAATCCTCACTGGGACCATCACTAGTGAATCTAGCCTCTGAACTGGTTTTTTGCCTGTGTGGCAGCTGCACTACACTTGCAGAGGTTTCAGCAACAGGTCCTCAAGTGAATTGGACAAAGTTCAGGAGGCCCATTGCCTTTTGTGTTTGTTGCAATGTCCTTCAGATGGGCAAAGTTCAGTGGCTCCACCGAATGAAGATGCCCCATAACATCATGACAAAACTATCATCTACTTGAGCATTCCAGGTGAAGGTCAGTACACAGGCAGCAGTCAGATGGCTATCAGAGCAACACTTTCTTACACAATATTCATACAATGTTTCCTCATGACGATGTTCACTTGCTTGCACAGTTCTGGGGCAATTATTGCAGTGCAGTACAGTACAGAGTGTGCCACATAGTCCTTGCATGTTGTGCTCTGGGCACTCGGAATACAGCAAGGATATGTGATGAACAATGAGGTTCTGTGAGAGCTGCATCATTGTTCTGAGTAGGAAAATGAAGAATTGTTGATCACCAAGAACATCTTCATCAGCCGACAGTGTCACAGTGGTGGCCACAGCAACCCATGCAGAAGGTCATTGGCAACTGTTTTCAATGGAACTGAGTTGGACGAAGTCATCATGTATTGACTGTAAATGTGTTGATGCTGGAAAGGCAAGCATCCCCTGTTTAATTATAACTGCAAATGTAGCTTATCACTTTGTTCTTTCATGCTTTCATTGTTGCTTAATAAAAGTTAACATTACAAACCGATGGAAGCCTCCACAGCATCTGATGCTCCTGCATTCAACAATGACAATGTTTATGCTTGTATGAGTGCTACACAAGAATAGCTATTCTGCACAGGATAGTAATGTTGTGTAACACCAAGGATGGCTAGTGCCTCTCATTTTTGCATCTGCACTAAAATGACAGTGAATCATAACAGTGACTATGTTAAGTGAACTTCTATTTACACATTCCTTTTTGTAGATCATTTCACCTGTGTCACTTACATACCCTTACATGATTTTCTTTTTCTTTTCCCTCCCACTACGTTTGGGTGCAGACTAAGATCCCCACAGAAAGGCTGGGGGGAGCCTGACCTACAGTGGAGCCTGCTAGCCTTTGAGTTTTGGTGGATGATCTTCGGGGCATTGGTAGCTAGATGACACAGATGTGGTGAGAATCTCCTCGCGAAATCCAGGCTGCCCACCTTAGCTTGAACTTCCAAGGCAAAGTGAAGGTGGAGGGGCTGGGCATCTCTGTATGTAGTTCCTTCTCTGGATGGGTGCTATCGGCACCCCCTCATCTCCTTGTGAGGAAAGGGCACCTGCACTGGGGTTAAGGTCCCTCGTTCTCCTATCACCTTCCCATTAATCTTGACCACCAGTGGCTAAAGCTATGGAGTGCAGGTCTTTGTACACCTCTGGCAGCAAATACGTATTCTACTGGACTTGGCTGTCCATTTCAGCCACCAATCTGTCTGGAAACAGCCAGGTACATACAGTCCAGCGATCATACTACAGATAGCATTGGTGGACACCTCTGACCTTCGTGCATTGTTTCTGCACCAGATGTGCATTCTGATAAAGTTGTTAATGGCGAAAGCCATGGTGTCCCCTCTTGCCTGTGGCTGAGCAGTTGCCTGATCTCCAGCATTCCTCCGACAGCAACCTGGACAATTTCTCATATGGCCAGCAGTGATGTGCTGGCAAGCATGTGCTCCCGAATCTAATCTAGCTAAAGCAACCACTGAGGTGTCAGTACCTGAGCTGGTAGAGGGTGGAGGAGACAGCCTTGCCAGTTCATCTTCTGACTGATCTGTAGCTTCTACCCAGGTGGAGGAGGACCAAAAGTCTGGTGAGATGTGTCACTTTAGAGCTGAGGCTGTGTAGATGCTGCTCATACCTGTAGAATACCAGAGAGAATGAATCATGAAAAAGGGTTAGAAGGTTGGGCATGTTAAGAGTACATTCAGAGTGGTGCCAATGGGAGAGCAGCACTGAGACCTAGAGGTCTTGGCTTCACGGTCATAGTCCTTTCCCACAAGGACTCTCCTCATATATGGTGAGCAGATGAATGCTGGGCCCTCCATCACCCTTCCTGGGCCCTCCCTGCTCTGTTGTGGGGTGTTTTGTCCTGCAGTGAGACAAAGGGACAGATTGACTGAAATGGCTAGCACAGCTGTTAGTGTTGATGCAGCTTGGGGAAAGGTAGTGAAGTGTCTTGAGTAGGAAGCACATAGCGCAGGAGGTTTTTACGGTTGAGGCGGGTGAGAGTGATTGAGAGAAGATACTACATATGCCAGTATGGGTGATAGACCATGAGACGTGGTAGAAGGAGTTTGCAGTGGCAGAGTTACAGTGATTGTGAGGTAACAGAGAGAAGATGGTGGCACTTATCGTTGTAGAACACAAAAGGTGATTAACCTTCTTGGTGTAGTTCTGGGCGGTCCACCAGTCTGTGGATATTGCATCAATTGAGGAGGCAACTTCAGACCAGGCTGGCACTGGCTGATTGTCCTGAGGAAAGGGGGATGACCTTCCTGTCCACCAAGAGCACCAGCTCCCTGTTGGCAAAGCAGGGTGCCAACGTGGCTCTCATCATTTGCTGCAACTGTGAAGTCTGATTTTGGGCTGGCAGCTTTTGAAATTGTGCACAGCTGGGTTTTTAATTTGGTGCAGGCAGTGGGAAACCCGGAACGTCCTGGCAAGAGCAAGCATTTCCTTTGCTGGTGTGGTCAAGTTAGCATTGGAATGATGTCATGGAAGTGTGGTGCATACTTAATAAGGTGAACACCCTAAAATTGTGTGAGAAAACTTGCTTGAGCTCATGAAGAGAAACCATCCATGAAACTCCTCCAAATAGATAATTATTTTAGGAAAACTTACGTCTCTATCTCTGACCCTGATCAGAGAAAAATATCAACCTGCCTTCCTCATATTTTTCTCAGTAACCATTCAATGGAGAATCTTTCAAACCCAATTGAGTACAGCAAGCCTCTGAGACAGCAGCACAGAAATTCCATACAGAAACCATACCCCCATTTTAAAGGGACCAGAAAGACTGGGCCAGCTATTATTTTGTTAATGCATGGTGTTACTGCTTTTTTGAGATTGTGAATGTTCTATGGTTTGAAATAATCAATTTCTGTTTGGCAATTCTCACTGTGTTTAATTGCAAAAGCATGGAAACAAAATAGGTAACATGATTGAATGATGGTTGTGTTTTCTACTTTTAAAGTGTACTTACTTAAAATGTGTGCTGAAATGCTAATTGAAAAAATTGAGTTAAAATTCAGTGTTTGAGGGCAGAAACGTGCTTATGCTTCCATCGAACATAAATCTTATGCCTTCAACAATTTTCTAAAGTACTACTACAGCTAAATATATGCTGTATGCTGTAATAAAAATGATACAATATTGGGTAAACCTGCAGCTTAGGTTAAGTTAGATTGGTGTTCCACTTGCAGTCTGACTCCTTGCCTTCATGTGTTCAGTATCTGTGCACAAAGTTGATGGCTTGTGCCAGCTTTAGTTTTGATGCTATTGGATGGTTTTTGCTTATTTTTGAGGTTTGCATGCATGATAAATCCACTGTTTTCAACAAACCTGATTTAGAAAGAGCATAAAGGTACTATGTTAAAGTACCTGATCTTAAATTTAAGATAACAAGGTGTAGAGCTGGATGAACACAGCAGGCCAAGCAGCATCAGAGGAGCAGGAAAGCTCACGTTTCGGGTCTGGGTTTTGAAGAAGGGTCCAGACCTGAAACGTCAGCTTTCCTGCTCCTCTGATGCTGCTTTTGGCCTGCTGTTCATCCAGCTGTACACCTTGTTATCTCAGATTCTCCAGCATCGGCAGTTCCTACTATCTCTGATCTTAAATTTAAATGTTTAAAGTGTAGAGATTTCTTCCTTCCATTCTCTTAATGTTGAAGTTTCTAACTTGCAGCTATAATTTACAAATTATTGTCATTAACCCCCGGGATAATTGTAGAATTTGAAACTTGTTTTTTAAAAATTGTTTTATGATCGATTTTAACTTGTATTTTGATTAATTTCAGCCTCCTGGGAGCAGCAAGTCTTCTCAAAAACTAAGCATGACACGAACACCATTCCAAGATAAGCGAACATGGTCACCCACGCATTTGATCCCATCAATCAGATCAGGTTCTGTCTCTGGTAAACCAGAGGTACATAGATCCGTAACTCCAACCGGTGATGCCTGTGGATATAAATACACAACTAAGTCTGCTCCGAAAACCAAGAAAAGCACATAGGATAAGGAACATCGAAACCACTAAACTTCAAAATGATTCCAAACACTATCGCTTCAAAAAGGAACCATGGATTGCAATGTTACAAGATGACTTTGGCTCTCTGTCTTTGCTGCTGACCATTATGTGTGCATAAAGGCTTTTCCTAAATCTTTGACCTATATATTTCACTTGGTACTATATAAAATCCAAACGGAAAGAATTAACAAGAAAACTGTTCACCAATTAGCTTTCTTTAAGTATTTATTAATACAGTGCTGATGGAAGACTCATAAATTATCTTGCTTAGAATTACCAGTACTGTTAAAAATCAGAAGTAGTATATTTAAGGTGTCTGAATTTGTCATGGAAGAATTTGTTGCATTTGCACATTGAATCTAATGTCATTGCTTATTTATTTAGTTGCTACTTGGAGGCTGCAGTAACCCTAAAAGAGCCAATCAATGAGTCGTCCACAGTGAGAATTAGAACATCTCTTTACAATTAATTGACCAGGCATGAAGCAATTTGTCCATTTTCACCCTTACATAGCAGCCCATACAGTCACTATAACATTGTCACTTTTAACATACAAATCGAGTGATTGCAGTGTTATTTTCACAAGTTGTAAATTTAGCAATTTTATACTGAGTTCTGCAAAGCAAGGTTAGAAACATGTAAAATATGTTAGATGTATATGACCACTTATTTACACAAGAAGTATTACTGTAAAAATGTACTTTACATGGCTAACTTCAATGAGCTTGAATCTGGTTATATCTGAGCTATGCATAAAACATTTTCTGTTGTTCTGTTAAAATATATTGAGTTGGCCTCACATGTACTGTCACATGACATCATGTACCAGGAATCCTGGGGCATGTTAACTTGTGCATGTTCCATCTAAATAACTAGGAAGATAATGGTATCAGTTCTTGACTTAAGTTTTCTATAGCACATACAGGGCTTTTAAAAGCAGATGTTTTCTTTTCAGTTGGAAAATAAATATTACCACCTTTGAATGAAAACGTGCAGAGACGTGATTTTTTTTCATCTCTCAGTAATTTTTCTGTAATTTTACATGAGCTGGTTTGATATCTAAGCTTTCCTTTCTAAAGTATTCCTTTGAGAACCAGTTTTAAAGTGTCCAGAAGTTGTTCTACTAGTTATAAATGGTACACGAACAAGTCCATAGCACAATATTGACATTATTACTAAAATTTTGACACATCCCTGCCTTGAGGTTTCGGAAGCTCAGATGTGCCGTAAACATGTTAGCTTTAAAGTTAAATTGTCTTTACATAACCTACATTCCGTACTTAATGTTCATGTTTCTTGTGTTGCTGCCATCCATCTGGCTCCATTTCTGATCATGTTTCTGATGTGATTTCATCATGCCATTTCACTTATCCAGATCTTAGTTGACTGAGTTGCCATTACAAACATGGCTGAACACAATTACCCAAATAAGTGTGTAGTAAAATATTTCAATTATTCTAATTTAAATGGTGGATGACATTTGAAGTTAAGCATTTTGCCAAACGTAAACAGGTGATTCAGTGAAGTATGCCAATGAAACACAAAGTGTCACATGGAAGTAAATTTGTGTGATTCAAGTGGGGTTTTGGGCATCCAGAACAAATGAGACAGCTATCAAAATTGTCATCACTATATCATATAGATTAGTAATTTAGACATATGCATAGGCATGTCCCCTTGGAAATAGTTGGAAAATAATATATTGTGAACTAAAAAAGTTACGTGTTGCTACTGTGATTTCAAACTTCTAGCTTTGTAAAACAATGCTCATTCTTATTTTGGAATAAGTTACCAATGTGTGAAGTTTCAATTCCAAGTGTAAATATTCTGATTTAAATAACATTGCTATTATCTAATACTGTATTGCATCTTTTATAAAGGTTAGTCTACAAGTTTTCACTTACAGGTTAACCTTATTAAGAGCTAACATCCACAATGAATTTAGCGAACATATTTGTATATTTTCTTTAAAACATGTAATTAATGCCCTGTATGGCATTAAATCTTCTCCTGTTCTAAACAGTAACATTCTGGACTTTTATTTTATATGTTTCAGTAATGTCTCATTAAGATTTTTCTTAATTTCACTAGCTAGAAATGTCAGATATTCGAATGCATCATGATCATGAAATGTTTGTTTTCTTTTGAAAGTGTGCAAATATTTAACATGGCAGCCAATGCAAGTACAAAATTCAAATCTTGAGCAAGACCATCAGCTAAATTTATATCTCCCCCGTAGCTGGGAATTTTTGAAATATTTATAAAACTGTACTTGACTGTGAAGTAAAGCTTTGAAACAATTCTTAAATACAGGCATCCATCAACTGTAGCTCAGTTAGAAGTGCTCATGGCCCTTGAATCACAAGGTTCTGGGTTCAGATCCTACCACAAGAAAAGAACATATAAATCTAGCCTGAAACTGCAGTGAAACACTGACAGAGTACTACACGGTCAGAGGTGTGCTGTCTTTCAGATGAAACGTTAAACTGAGGGTGCATCTACTTGCTCAGTCAGCTGTAAAAGATCCTACGGCACTATTCCAAAAGAAGGGCAGTAGGGTTATCCTTGGTGTCTTGGCTAATATTTATCACTCAATCAACCACTCAAAGCAGATTATCTGATCATTACCACATTGCTATTTGTGATAGTTTGCTGTGTGTAAATTGTTTACTGCATTTCCTACATTAAAATGTTGGCTACATCTCAAAGTGAGCTCCATTGATTATTGAGTGTTTTGAGATTTCTCACAGTCATAAAAAGTGCTTCATAAGTACAAATCTGTCTGTCTTTCTTTATTTGAATACAAAGTCTTTGGCTAAATTACTAAACTACCAAATCCCAGTATTTTAACTGTAGTGCAAATACTGGCATACTTTTGTTTATGATAAATATAAAAGCAATGAAACTGTAGTTTCAAAAAATTAGCATTTATCCATTCTTGTCTTGAATTTTTCAGTTCTGTTACCTATCTGTTTGATGTACTGCAGAAATTACAAATCTATGTTTTGTTGCTAATGACCTTGTGCCTATGTAGTTTATTCATTCAATCATTAGCAATGGTGGATAATAAAAATGGTCTTATATGTACATTAGCAAAACTGAGAATTGTTTCTAGGTCTAATTGCATGGTGTATTAGCTAGTGGAAGAGTATTTGCTTTATTTTGTTTTTGTCGTGTACATATTACTAACCATATAATTACTGTTTTACTAACTTGCAATTCTTGTCAGCCATGCTGTAATCCATACTGATAAGCAGTTCTATGCGAAATATATATTAATGAGAATAACTGCCAGCAGCAAGCTTCTGCCTAATGCTAAATACATTCAAACTGCCAAAAGTACTTCATTTGTCACTTTATGCAATAATGCCTAAAAAGTGAGCCATAAAACATTCTTCAAACATTTCGACAAATTATGCCACGCTTGTGTTCACATCAATTCATTCATGAGAGGTAATAGAAGGAAACTTGGCATTTTTTAAAAAAAGGCATCTTAATGTTTTTGCCATACCTTGACCCCAATGGAATGTACTTACAACCAATTCCAAGGACAATTGATCTGAAAACTGCAGGAAAATGGGCTGCAGTTGGATTTTAGATTTCTTTTTGGTTCCTGGAGAGGAGATCAGGATTAATTAAATGGTGTTATAATCCCTGTATGTTTTTCAATGTATAACTTGATTTATTACTAAACCAAACTATTATGCTGCTGGCCAATATTACTTCTAAATATAAATTAAGCCATCTTAAGTGAAGGGAAGTAAACACCAGGCGTTAAGATACTATTTCTTTTCTTCCACCTACACCCTAAGAAGTCGCAACACTGATAATTTTTGTATGCACTCGTGACAAAGTTTTTAAGAATCTTCTTTCTCCAAACAGCCCTCCCACCACATTGAGCACTGACCAGGATTGGTGATTTATTTAGTCTGCGCAATGACACAGAAGGAAAGCTTTCATTAAAGTCCACCACATGCTTTGGAATCAGCACAGACTAAAGTTAAATAGCAAACTGATGGCACACTGGGGTATTTTAGGCATTACTATTCAGGTACGGGGAGCCTAATAAGCATAAGTATAAATAGGCATTGAAGAAGACATGACCCATCATGAGCAAATAGTACAGGGCCAATATTATTTCCCAGAAGCCTGGGAAATGTCAGTTCCCAAGTATAAGTAAGAGGAGATCAATGATTTCTTGAATACCTGTGATTTCCCCAAAGGGAAAGGGCATAGTGTTTACATCTGTAACATTGACATTTAGATTGTAAGCAAGCTGGTTTGTTACTTCATTTGAGGAAATAACCCACCTCAAGGACAGAAATCAGTCTTACTGGTACTAGGCAACAAATGCCAGCTGATCACACGTATCACATGAAAGATTTCACATGCATAGGCATGTCATTTGCAGAATAAACATTTCAACCATATGACAATATCCAATGAGCTTTTATGAAACCTGCATGGATTCACATTTGCCTATGCCTTGTCAAATAGTCTTTTTATTAGTTTGACATAAATATGTTTTTTTTAGATTTGGCATAGTATTATTTATTTTTTGTGGTAATTAAGGAGTTACTTTGGTTTTGTTCACAAAAACTGCATCCTAGCTTAAGTTGATACAGTAATGTACTTGTGTGTGATGTGCGAATGAGGGTTGATTCAAATATAATTTTTTGTGGGATTTGTTAAGTACATGCTTTCTTTGAAAAAAACTATGAAACAATTGCTTAAATCTGAGTGGTAATGAAGATTTTATTTAGTATTTAATTTTTCTGCACCTATCCTGATTTCTTCCCTCCACTTTAAAAGATTCACTTTTAATTGATTAACATTTTCCATTATCAAGCAATTTCTTTGTATGTATCTTAACGTCCATTAACTTTATTATTTATTAAGTTTATTCATATTCCATTTTATCCATTTTGCCATGTATTCATCCCTTTGTTGTTCCCAGCCCACCCTTTCTGATCTCCACATTTGGATTTCCACATTCTTTCAACTTGATACTATCCCTTATTTCCAATATTGATCATTCAAATTGAGCCTATACATTTTGCAGTATGGGCCTGTTTCATATCTGCAACTTTGTACCTATGGATGTGCTCTCTGCACTGTCCTGCTAACAGAAGGTCTATCTAGTTGAAGTCTTTAAATTTAATAAGGTGATGGAGATGAATTTTCAGAAGGCCATGAAAGCAGCAAAAGTAGCTGCTGGAATAAACTTCGGTGAATTAATTCCAAAGAACAGAGGAAGCAAACAATAAGCAGTGATAATGAGTTAACAATGTGGAAGATGCAAGCATGGATGTATGACATTGGGCAAGATAGAGCTAGACCACAGAGGAACTTGAAGTTATGGGCAGGCGAACTTTGTAAGGGCAGTAAGGGGGTTTATGTTGGCAAGTAAAGTTGCCAGACTGGACTAGGTTTGTGAAGGGTTCAGGCACTTAATTCTTTTAAATTTGCATCACAGGGAGACAGGGTGATTGAAATGGCATTGACCATACTTGCCTTCATTGCTCAGACCTTTGAGTATGAGTTGAGTTCTGAGGAAGGGTCACCGGACCCGAAACGTTAACTCTGATTTTTTCTTTACAGATGCTGTCGGACCCGCTGAGCTTTTCCAGCAACTTCTGTTTTTGTTGCTTTGACTATGGGAGTTGGGACATCTTGTTGAAGTTGTAGAGCATGTTGGTGAGGCCTCTTCTGGAGTATGTGTTTAGTTTTGGTCACCCTGCTATAAGAAGGATATTATTAATTTGGAGATGGTTCAGAAAAGATTTACCAGTATGTTGCCGGGACTGGAGGGTCCGAGTTATAAAAAGAGGCTGGAACCTTTTTCACTGGTGGGTAGGGGTTGAGGGGTGACCTTATAGAAATTTATAAAATCATGAGGAGCATAGATAAGGTGAATAGCAAGGGTCGTTTCCTAGGGTGGGGGAGTTCAAAACTAGGGGGCATATTTTTAAGGTGAGAGGAGAAAGTTTTAAAACGGACATGAGAGGCAATATTTTAACAGAGAGTGATCCGTGTGTGCAGTGAATTGCCAGGAGTAGTTGTAGATGTAGGTACAGTTTCAACATTTAAAAGATATTTGGATAAGTACATGAATAGGAAAGGCTTGGAGGGATATGGGCCAGATGTGGGCAAGTGGGACTACTTTAGTTTGGGAACATGGTCAACGTGGACTTGTTGGGGTCTGTTTCCATGCTGTATGATTCTATGACTATGAAATGGTGAAGGCAATGAGCAGAGCATGTTAGAAGTTAATTCTCAAGGTTAACAAAGGCATGCATTGGTATGGTGATTGAGATTTGAAAAGGATGATATGACATTTGTCAGTATTCAGTTGATGGAAATTTTGTCTCATCCAAGAAGTGCAGATGATTTGGCATTATGGTTTAAATGATCCACTTCTGAAGTTGCTGCTGCTCATTGCAGCTGATGATCTGTTTAAGGACTACCGGCTTAAGACAGTTATACATTTATAAAGACAAAAACTTTCCCTCAGTTGACTGAACTAGCCAGTCTTGATTATAAAACTCCCTAGATATTTGACCTAATGTAAACAACGACAACCTCATCATATTGTACACTGAACTCCTGACTCTGTGGGAGCAGAAGAGTTTCATTTTTGACGCTTCTTTAATGAGGCCAGCAGTTGTCACTTCACACACAGCCCAATTATTTAAACAAGTGTAAATTGGTCTCGCAGCAAATTCCCTGCACTGTTTGGTAGTGCAGCTCCTCAATCACCGCAAGGCCTCCAAGCTGTTGCAATTAGAAATCCAACTTGCCAAATTTTGAGAGTTGCAATATTTTGATTTTAATTTGAAAAATTGAACTTTGTGCATTAAAGTTAAAGCATTCTTTTTCAGAACTTAATTTATTTATTGCACAGATTAACCAGCTTCATTCTTGCTGCAATACGTTTCCA